CTTTCAAACCCTTACACTCAACCCGGGGCAAGGTAGTGTTCAGTTAACCTGACTACACACTCAAATCACAAAGCAAAAATCAAAAAGACATGATGGTTGTTCATCAATAACTCACAAATTGGCAGTCACAATCCTCCTACAAAAATAAAAATAAAAACTAAAAGTCTGCTAAGTCGAGCACCTCAAAAGAGACTTAGGAAAAAATCAAGGCAATCCCGATGGATCTGACAAGCGAAATCAGTTCATGCAAAAGTTAGGGATAAAAAACAAAAACAAAATAGGCCCACAAATCCTCAACAAAAACAAAATAAGGTTCAGTGACTACCATATCAAATCAAGGGGTCACTGACATCCTTCAAAAGAAAAATAAGGTGACTGCCATGTCGGGCATACCTTGAATCATCAAGCTTACACCATTAATCATTTTGGAAGACAAACATGTGCAGAATTAAATGAACGTAAGACTGGAGATCATCGCGAAGAAGGGGTGGGTATAAATCATATTTTGAGTCTAATATCCTTTGTTTCACAACCGTGAACCAAACCATGTTACAATCCTCGAAAGACCTAATTGAGGCGAGATTTATTCTAAAAGCATACTATTGCAAGGTTGCGTAAACTGACTCCTCACGTATATGCTAATCATCAGCATTGCTGTCGTTTTCCTTGTTATATCTTTCACACTAAGCAAAATCAGCACAACATCCGGACTAACAGTCCATTCGTCTCACACTATCATGACACTCCAATAAACGAAACTTTTTCAAAACTTGCATGAATGCTTGCATTAAGATTACCATTTGTGAATGTGCAATTTTAATTGCAAATTAGTTCTAGACAATCCAAGACACTCCAACAAGGGGCAATCAAAGAGGAACTTGAACTTTCAGTGGCTGACATGAAGCAAGATTACCTCAAAACCCACAGTCTAGAGCAGATCCTTCAACAGCTCGATCAGGGGCAAGCCATCTCAAAGCATCAAAGCTCAGCTTCCACATATCAAAATTGGTTAATCAGGGTCAAACCATTACCATATTCAGACCGGGGCAAGACCAGTTGCAGAAGCAGATCCTCTCTGAATTTTTAGGCTATCCTGACCCTCGAACATAGAATCATGGCTCTCTCAGAAGCAAGTTCACAACAAATCAACAAGTGATTATATTTGGAGCATCCAGAACATCTTCGTCTGCTTTAATCACGACGTCTTCAACGAACTAAGTGTCGAGGAAATCAAACCTCCCACCACCCAAAGTCCAATCCGCATTGGCAACTACCGAAAGTCCACTGTGTTGACATCTATATATCCAATCACCCGTCTACAATCATATGCATTCTACGTATCATATGCATCACATTTGACATCATAAGCATCATTTGCATCATATGCATACCCAAAACTAATCATACTTCCCCATCACTTGCATCTCCATACGTCATCATTTGAATTTGCATTTTCATTCGATATGGAATGTCATTACCAACATTAAGCATTCATACATGCGTAGATCAAGATCCAGAATCAATCTCGAGATTCTAAGATGATCTTCAGCTTATCCAGGGGAATCTTCTTCAAATCCGTGGGCGTTCCCCACGAAGTTGTGTCAACCTTTTGTTGATCAAGTCAAAGATTTCAAAGCAATCTTCAGCCCAGTCAGGGGCATCTTCTTCAAGTTCATGGGTGTTCCTCATGAAGTTACTTCAACCTCTTATCGATGAAGTTGTGATCTCCAAGTAAATGAGTGGGCATTCCTCACTGAGTTGTGTTCTCAACCTTTTATGGTTAAAGTTGGCATCCCTAGCTTAACAAGTGGCATTTCTCTGAATCAGTGGGCGTCCCCAGTTAATTTGTTTCAAATCAACCTTCCTCTTGGGCGTTCCCCAGTGAGTTGGATCCTTTCAACCTTTCGTTAACAAGGATAGTGTTCGTTAGTGACTTTTGTCCTTCAACCTTTTGTTGATATCCTCAGATAAGCCTCACTCAAAATATGTCCAACAAACTTGACCTGTTGTCAATTGCCTTGTTATCATCCTTTTGGTGGTAGCCAAATCCTGTCATTTCAACCTAACATGCATCCTTTTGGTGTTGGTAACCATCAAAGTGGGAAGTCTCTATCATCCTTTTGGTGGTAGCAACTTGTGTTGTTTGATCTTACCATCATCCTTTTAGTGTTGGCAATCAGTGAACCTTTGGTTTGTGTATCATCCTTTTGGTGAAGAATAGCCTTTCTTATTGTTTTGCTTACTATTATCCTTTTGGTAGTAGTAAGTTGTGATCTCATTTTCATCCTTTTGGTGAAGGGTCATCGGGCGTGTGTTAACTATCATCCTTTTGGTGATAGGTCTGTCATCCTTTGGGTGCCAGATTTTGTTTGAGTTCTCTATCATCCTTTTGGTGCCAGATTGTGTGTGTTTTCTATCATCCTTTTGGTGATAGATCCGTTATCCTTTTGGTGTCGGGATTATGTGCGTGTGTTAACTATCATCCTTTTGGTGATAGGTCTATCATCCTTTTGGTGTTAGATATTGTGTGTGCTCTATCATCCTTTTACTGCTAGACCCGTCATCCTTTTGGTGTCGGGATTATGTGTGTTGTTAACTATCATCCTTTTGGTGATAGGTCTGTCATCCTTTTGGTTCCAGATTGTGAGTGTGTTCTCTATCATCCTTTTGGTGATAGACCTGTTATTCTTTTGGTGTCGGGATTATGTGCGCATGTCCTTTATCATCCTTTTGGTATCAAAGGTGTGTACTATCATCCTTTTGGTGATAGGTCGATCATCCTTTTGGTGTCAGATATCTCTGTGTGCGTGAGTTCTTTATCATCCTTTTGGTGATAGGTCTGTCATCCTTTTGGCGTCAAATATCTTTGTGTGCATGAGTTCTCTATCATCCTTTTGGTGATAGATTTGTCATCCTTTTGGTGTCAGAGGTATGTTAACTATCATCCTTTTGGTGATAGGTCAGTCATCCTTTTGGTTCCAGATTATGCATAGTGTTCTCTATCATCCTTTTGGTTATAGGTCTGTAATCCTTTTGGAGCCAGATATATGTGTGTGTGTTCTCTACCATCCTTTTTGTGATAGACCCGTCATCCTTTTGGTGTCAGAGATGTGTTAACTATCATCCTTTTGGTGATAGTTCTGTCATCCTTTTGGTGCCAGATATGTGTGTGTGTGTTCTCTATCATCCTTTTGGTGTCGGAGATATGTTAACTATCATGCTTTTGGTGATAGGTCTCTCATCCTTTTGGTGCCAGATTGTGTGTATGTTTTCTATCATCCTTTTGGTGTTGGAGGTGTGTTAACTATCATCCTTTTGGTGATAGGCATGTCATCCTTTTGGTTCTAGATTGTGCGTGAGTTATCTATCATCCTTTTTGTGATAGACCCATCATCCTTTTGGTGTTGGGATTGTGAGCATGTGTTAACTATCATTCTTTTGGTGATAGGTCTATCATCCTTTTGGTGCCAGATTGTATGTGTGTTCTCTATCATCATTTTGGTGATAGATCCATCATCATTTTGGTGTCGGAGGTGTGTTAACTATCATCTTTTTGGTGATAGGTATGTCATCCTTTTGGTATCAGATTGTGTGTGAGTTCTCTATCATCCTTTTGGTGATAGACCCGTCATCTTTTTGGTGTCGGGATTGTGTGCATGTGTTAACTATCATCCTTTTGGTGATAGGTCTGTCATCCTTTTGGTGCCAGATTGTACATGAGTTTTCTATCATCCTTTTGGTGATAGACACGTCATCCTTTTGGTGTCGGGGTTGTGTGTGTGTGTGTATGTGTTAATTATCATCCTTTTGGTGATAGGCATGTCATCCTTTTGATGTCAGGTTATTTTTGTTATTATTCTTTTGGTGATAACAACTATTACAAGTTACTCAGTGTCCACTAGAGGGTCGACTTTGATCTGTTATATAACTTCTCAAGCATTTCCTTTTCTTTTCGGACAAGTTCGGATTCTTCTTCATATCTAATTATCTTATACCTCGAAAGAATGAACATTGTAGCAGTTCATCTTACTAGGTTTAAGCCAATTAGATAGGGGCATATGTCATACCCCAAATTTGTCCTACTTGTATATCATTTTCATCTGTACATCCATCCACTAACTATTATTTAGAAAATCCAAAAATATGTTGTTGCTTTCATCTAAGTCTAAGTTTTAGTTGAAGATATTTAGCCAAATGTGTGTGGACAATATTGATTGAGGTGATGGTTTTGACCTAACCAGTGGTCAGGCAGGCTTTAAGGGCTGGGTATGATTGATTCAAGTGATATGTTTTGAGCTTCGATTAGGGTTTGTGTTGAGGCAATTCAATGGCGTGTAGGTCAGGTTATCAGATTGTGTAAAGTATTCATGACTGAAGATTATTAATGACTGGTTCGTTTTAATTAAGATTCACAGTGAAGTTCTTTAAGGGGAATTCATTGACAACCATACCAATTTAATCCACTTTATCCATTTCGGTCCTTTTCTTTTTCATTATCCATATTCAAAAACCATTGTCCATTACAGAAAATATTGTCAAAAATTTTACAAGCCCATTATTCATATTTCCCAAGAAAAATTCCATTATGAAAATTGCCAAAAAAAAATATAATAAAGTCAAGTCCATTTTTCATATTTCCACACAAAAATACAAGGCCCATTAAAAAAAACTACAAAATACATACAAAGTCCATACAAGGGATATCATGATACTACACAAAAATATAGAACCCATGTCATTATTTTTTTACAATAAAGGCCCATAATATATTACAAAAAGTTGCAAAAAATAATATGAGGACAAGGCCCTCATGAAACCACAATTGCCAAGCCCACCCTTATGCTACTACTCCCAAAGCCTCACATTGTTATCCCAAAACTTCAAGCCTTTACGACGCGGTTCGCACAACCACACACCTTATTCTGTTTCATAACATGATGCCATAGTCCATTTCTGCAGCAAAGAACGGTGTCACGACTTTCACTACACGCCAATTACCGTTACAAATTGTACAAGCAGCCAATCCATTCCACAAACCTTCTAAACTGACCCCACAACCTGGAAGATCCAAAACCGCGTCACCACACAATAAACCAAAACAAAACGACATGTAACAAATATCAAAATGGTAATACATCTCAGCATTCCAAATCCATGGGTATTCCCACTTTTGCCCTCACTTCCATTATATAAGAGCGAAATCAACTCGTTCTTTTGAAGGAGCTTTCCAAAAGGCACAAAAAAAATGCTGCAGAACTTACCTATTTTCTCCTCTTCGTGCCATCCCCAAACCTTCATCATTCTCTTCCAACCTCAACCCTCCTTCATCTCTTTTTATCAATACATCCCAACCTGCATCACCAACCATTATCAAACCTTCAAAACACAGTCAAATTCACAAATCCAAAACTACACAGAACCCAAAATCATCCCAATCAAACAACCCAAAAATCTGGAAAGAACACAAATCGAGAAGGAGAAAGGAATTGAGACGAAACTGAAGCGAGAATAAAACAAACCTTTACAAAACCAAATCAAACACACTTGAACCTGAGTCAAAGCAATAAACAAGGTAAGCAAGGAGTCGAGAACAGAATCGAAGCAACCGAGAAATCATAAAGAAAGTTGTTCCGCCATTGTTGTGTTGTTATTGTTGTAGCTTGTGAAGATTTTGACCAAGTGGTTTTATGTTAAAGAGAATAGAATTTGGTACCATGCCCTTTTCACTCATTTGATTTTTTTCTTTTCCTTAAAGAGTTTGTTTGTTTAAAATAAAATTGGTGGTTTTATTATGTAACTGAACCTTATGTTATGGTATCGTGGGCTTCATAGCTCAGTTGATGTTTTCTTTAAACTACACATACCTTTCAAATGATGCACACCACTTTTTTGTTCTTTCTTTGAGTCCTGTGGATGATGGGCTTGGATGAGCCCATGTGATTCCCACATGATCCTTCATATTCACCCACCAAATTTATACCCCTCACTCTTTGTTGTTTTAATTAATTTGATTTGTTTAGAATCATTTTTATTAAATTTTTAAATAATAGTTTAGCATTAATTTCTTGTCTATTTTATTTATTAATTTTACTCACATTCTATCTTACTATTTCATGTCATATTAATTTCGATTTTGTTTCTCATTTCTTTTCGATTTTCATTTTGTTTTTTCGATTTTATCTTAGGTCGATGAAGTCTTTTGAATCATAGATGTTAGTTATCGAGGTTGTTTAACATTCATTATTTCAAATATGTAGGAAATGATCATTGAGATCATTTTCTATACTTTGGGATCGTGATAGGTTACCCTTGATTAATTAACACAAGTTTATGATTAAGACGAGATCGTCGCCTTTTCTTTTCGTGTGGCACGATTACTTTGGAAAATAATCCTCAATATCATTTCTTCACCGTGTTTTTAGCACAAATATCAACTTGTACGACGTCCTATAGTTTGATCTTCGTCATAGATCGAGCTACGACGGTTTAGCGCTACATTTCGACCCGATTCAAACAAAAACGACTAACAACTAACTTTAATTTCCGCCAATATATTATTGTTTTACATTTCAGTCAATATATATTATTAATATTATCATTGTTCATATACTTGTTAATATTATCTTTATTATACTATTGTGGATATTATCTTAATTATATTGTTATATATCTTGTCATATTATTCACATTGTTCATATCATATTCATATTCATCATATCTTGTTCATACTTTTCTAAAACACAATAATAACTATCGAAACCTAAAAGCCTAAATTGATGGATTGTTGGTTACTTTTCCGAGCAACGGAACTCGTACTTTGTACAAAAACTCTAACTTAAAGCTTTTGTCGAAGTTATTCCTGCATTTGAGAAAATACAAACGCCACTTGAATCCTAACAAATGTACCTTCGGTGTTCGTTCAAGAAAGCTCTTAGGCTTCATTGTTAGCCAAAAGGAAATTTAAGTTGATCCTGATAAAGTTAAAGCCATTCAGGAAATGCCAACACCTAAAGCTGAGAAGCAAGTAAGAGGATTTATGGGTCGTTTAAACTACATCTCCATATTTATCTCTCATATGACCGCTACTTGTGGGCCGATATTCAAACTTCTTCGGAAAGATAAAAGTTGTATATGGACAGAAGATTGTTAGAAGGCCTTTGATATCATCAAAGAATATCTGCTTGAACCTCCCATTCTGATCTCTCTAGTGGAAAGAAGACCTTTGATCATATACTTAACAGTATTGGAAGATTCTATGGGTTGTACGCTTGGTCAGCAAGATGAAACTAAGAAAAAAGAGCATGTCACTTATTACTTAAGTAAGAAATTCACAGACTATGAATCTTGTTACACTGTGCTTGAAAAAACATGTTGTGCATTGGCTTGGGATACTAAGCGTCTCCGTCAATACATGATTTGTCATACTACTTGGTTGATCTCTAAAATGGACCCGATCAAGTATATCTTTGAAAAACCTGCTTTAACCGGGAGGATTTCCCACTGGAAAATGTTGTTGTCAGAGTATGATATTGAATACCATGCTGAAAAAGCCATCAAGGGGAGCATTCTAGCTGTTCATTTGTCTCACCAACCAATTGATGACTATGAATCTATCAAATTTGACTTTCTAGATAAAGATGTGATGTATCTCAAGATGAAAGACTGTGATGAACCTTTGCCAAGTGAAGGGCCAGAGCCAGGATCCAGGCGGGGATTAATATTCGATGGAGCTATCAATGCTTATGGAAACAGAATTAGGGCGATCATTGTTACACCTCAAGGTACCCATATTCCTTTTACCGTAAGGTTAACATTCAAATGTACAAATAATGAATCCGAATATGAAACCTGCATCATGGGACTTAAAGAAGCCATTGATTTGAGGATCAAAAATATTGACGTATATGAAGACTCAACTTTGGTCATAAATCAGATCAAAGGTGAATAGGAAACACGTCAACCCAGATTGATTCTTTACAAAGACTATGCAAGAAGATTTATACTTTTCTTCAATCAAGTTGAGTTTCATCACATACCTCGTGAAGAAAATAACATGGCTGATGCACTAACTATATAATCCTCCATGATTATTGTGCATCGATGGAATCATGTACCTAAAATCGATGGTATACGCCTTGATAGGACCGCTCATGTATTTACCATGGAAGAGATTGTTGATGATAATCCATGGTACCATGATATCAAATGCTTCCTTCAAAAACAAGAATACCTGCTTGGGTCATCAAAGAAAGATAGGAAGACTCTCAGAAGATTGGTTGTCAACTTCTTCCTGAATAATGATGTGTTGTACAAAAGAAACTTTGACATGGTCTTACTCAGATGTGTAGACAAACATGAAGCAGACATGTTGATGAAAGAAATTCATGAAGGCTCTTTTGGTACTCATGCCAATGGGAAAGCAATGGCAAAGAAAATATTAAAAGCAGGATACTATTGGTTATCAATGGAATCTGATTGTTGTGAATACATGAAGAAATTCCATAAATGCCAGATTTATGCTGACAAACTTCATGTGCCACCAACTATTCTCAATATTATCTCATACCCATGGTCTTTCTCTATGTGGGGAATTGACATTATTGGCATGATCGAGCCCAAAACTTCAAATGGGCATCGTTTCATCCTTGTGTTCATTGATTACTTCACCAAGTGGGTTGGAGCAGCACCTTATGCTAATGTAACTAGGAAAATGGTGGTTCGGTATATCAAGAACAATCCAATTTATCATTATGGTGTTCCGAGTAAGATCGTTACTGATAATGGATCGAACTTGAACAACAAAATGATAAAGGAATTTTGTGTTAAATTCAAGATTGAACACATAACTCTTCTTCCTACCGACGTAAGATGAATGGAGCTGTTGAAGTGGCTAACAAAAATATCAAAGAGATCGTTTAGAAAATGGTAGTAACCTACAAAGATTGACATGAGATTATACCATTTTCTCTTCATGGATATCGTACGTTTGTTCGTACTTCAATAGGGGCAACTTCTTTCTCTTTAGTATATGGCATGGAAGAAGTGCTCCCCATAGAGATAGAAGTCCTATCAATGAGAGTCTTAATGGAAGCTAAATTGATAGAGGTTGAATGGTGTCAAAGCAGATACAATGATCTGAACTTGATCGAGGAAAAAATAATGACAACTTTGTGTAATGGTCAGCTATAGCAACAAAGAATGAAGAAAGATTCCGACAAGAAGGTCTGACCTCGTGTATTCAGAGAAGGTGACATTGTGCTTAAGAAAACTCAATAATTCCTTTTTTATTCTAGGGTCAAGTGGACTCCTAATTATGATGGCCCATATATGTTAAGAAAGCCTTCTCAGGCGGTGCCTTAATGCTTACAACTATGAATATAGAAGAGTTCGCTCGTCCTGCAAATGTTGACACGGTCAAGAAATACTTTTCCTAATGAAAAGCAAGAAAAAGAGCGTCTCGGTGGATCGAAAACCTGAAAGGGCAGTCCAGACAATAATTAGAGACATAAAAAATATCATCCTGGTAGATTGAAAACTCAAAAGGGAAATCTAGGCAAAAGTTAGGGATATATGGCAAGTAACTACATCAAATAAGATTGGATCATCTGAAGAAGCTGCATCTATCAAAGAGTCCTCAATCAAGATCGCCTTCGCCAGAGCTCAAAGAACATTGGAAATTCAAAGTTGATAGGGAAAATTTGGTCATTATATTCAAAGCTGCATCTATCAGTAGAGTGCAAGGTTACTCTATCCCCAGAGAGACTCAAGCCTTACAGCAGGACTTTGTTCCATTGATAACTCTCTTTGTTGTATTTCTAGTGATAGTTCCATGAGACTGGCTGAGTAACCAATCATATCATGATGATTATTTCATTGCCAATATATATTTTTCGCCTATTTTGTCAGCATAAAAACAAAATACACATTCATATTATACATATATCATGCAGATTTGAATTCATATCCATGTTCATGATTCATTTATTGGTAATGTTTATTTTTTCCTTGGTTATGTTCATCCTTGAGTGATATGTTTCTGCTCTCCAATAGAGTGGCCAGACGTAAGCAAAAAGTGTATGTCCTTTTTAACTCTCCACTAAGTTTAATCCTCGTGGAAGTTTTGATTTAGTTCTCTTTTCCACACTTGGATATGATAAATACCCAGTTCGAGTTCATTTCTCATTGGTTGGCGTCTTGATTGACAGTATATCTCCAGCTTATTCCTGAATTGAGTTGGTCTTTTTGGCCATTTTGATAACTTGAACCTCTAAATTAAAAGAGCATTTATTTTGCGCCTTTTAGGTGGTTTACATCCCCAGAAAGAATCTGTTAAAGGTTCCTCAACAAGATAAATTTATTCCGCCTTGGAATTTACACCTGACAGCAACTGGAAATCTCTTATTAGAGAATCTTGTTTTTTATCCCTGAATTTTCCCAATAAATTAGCAAATGGTAGTCTCTTTTTGAGCGGTTTGTTTGTCCCTGCTAAAGCTACCGGCATATCAAAATTTTATTTCATCTTATGGCATCTCTCAAAAAAGTCTTGAAGGGAAGTATGATGAAGATATTTCTCCAACAAATGGCATCTCTCCGAACAAGTCCCGCAGAGAAGTTTGA